GGAAAGAGATCCAGGGAATCCTGAATATGGATGTTTAATACAGCAACAAACTCCTGATGCCAAGCAGAAAACAATCTGTATTCTATGCCATCAGGTGTTCAGAGAGACAAAAATCTCAGGGAAAGGAAACTCAACTTTTCAAACAGCCTCAAGCCCAAATTTCCCTTTCCTATAATATTTGTGGAGCTTTTTCCTTTAAAACAGGATCACTGCTGTGTGTTTAGTGCTTAAATCCTTAGCAAATCATTGGTATCACCCCAGAGATGATCCAATGGATCCATTGAGTCAGCACAGCTGGAGGGGCAGTGCTCTGTGGCCTCGGAAGTCTGGAGTGCAATGGACAAAGGAAAGGGAATATTTGCTTACAGTTGCAACAGTACTGGAATCAAAGACCTGCTTACCCATAGTTAATGTTTTCTTTGATGTCCACCTCCCTATAGTCATTCAAAAAAGAAAAAGGGATTCATGAACTAGTTAGACATCTCCGTATGTCACAAGACAGTGCTGAAAGCATTTATCCACATCCCAGAGCTGCACCTCCAGTGCTTACTTGGCCTCAAGGTGTCAATCTGAGCTACAAACTGAGGGTGTGGGGGAGAAAAAAAATCACCAGTTTCTAGGGTTTACAGACATTTTAATGTCAGTCTGCTTACACATCCTGGAATTTGCAGCAATTCCAATTGTTTAAGGATTTCTGTTTAACACTGGCTACATACAACACATTTTTTCTTGACTACATCAAAACTAGTCGTGGGTTAAATGCAGTAATTTCTACACCAGTGAGGCCCAGAATAGTGACGGTAGTTTTCACACAGTCATAATATAAAGAGACTGTATGGTCAACCCCTCAGAGCTCTGGCAATGTGTCCCTAGTGTCACTCCAAGCCTTCTTAGAGGAGCCAAAGGCCAAGATACAGAGCAATTTCTACCCAGGGAAATATTACTAAGGGGCAATTCTTGTTTCAGGCTGCAGAACCGAGTACACAGCTCCTTTCTTCAATCAGGAATTGCACTCCAGAGCCAATCAAAGAATATGGAACAAAAGCTTAGCCTACTCCTCACTCCTTTCCACAGTGCCTTTGCAACGCAACACTCTAAAGTAGAGCTGAGCCCTGCAAACACTCTGTGAGGGGAAATACTTTCATAGTCTGTCCATGGAAGAAGAACAGAGGTTGCATGAGCAAGGAGAAACAGAGATTAACCTCTATCCCTGCAGACACAAGCCTCTCTCTCAAAAATTCTCTTCCCAGTCCATTTCTTGGCTTGAGAACTACTAAGCAAATTCCCAGAGCTGAATCTAAGGTCTGCAATATTTTATGTTTTCCTCCTTAAAAACCAAATCACCTAAACACCTCAGCTGACGGGCCTTGTTTTGGCCTGGGGAGGGAATAGCTTTGCTTTCTGACCAATGTCTTAGTGCCCAGTTTATCTGGGACCAGTTCAGACCAGCTGCTGCAGCAATGCCCTTCCAAGGAACACCCAGCTGGGTACAGCTGCTGCCTACAGCCCTTGGACACTGAGCACACTCCAACCTTGCAGTCTCAGCTTTAATCCTTTAAAATCCTCATGGCTGGGATAAGAAAAGCATGAGGAAAACCAATCAGTGTGAAGCAGACAATGGGTAGTGTCCATGAGGGCCCAGGGATTGAAGGCAGGAAGGGTTAAAGACTGGAAAGGAAGGTGAGGTTGGACTGGAGCGAGCGGAGGCAGTGCAAGGTTTAACCTGTGCACATCCTGCTTAATGGAAGTTGTTCCCAGGTCCTGAGATGACATTCCTCCAGTCTGGAGGAACAAGCTAACCACAGCCTGCACTACTGCCTTTCCCACCCCTGCACCCTGTGGAGCAGCCCCAGGACTGGCTCTTACGCTGGATCTCGGACGTCTCTGGTGATTCGGTAGTTCCAGTCACGGAAAAACTCGTTTTCCTTGTCAAATTCCCTCTCATCTTCTCCAATAGTCACAGTGAACCTTTTCTCCTCAAAGTCAGGTTCCTGTTCTTTTCTCATAGTTGCTTTTTTTAATACCTGTCATGACATAAAAACAGTGTCAGGAGAGAACTTTGAGGCACAGAGAAAATGCAATCTCAAAAACCCTTCACTTGGGAGAAAACCTTCAACTAAACCAACTTCTGCCCAAACCTTAGCAATGTGCAGAAACTGCTGGTTTTGGCCCAAACCAACATAAGGACACAATATTTTTCGTGATGTAGAAAGTAGAATTCACTGTTCCATCAGCTCAAAACAGCAGGAAACATAGGTTTCACATCTGCTGACCTCATTTTCTGCAGTGAATAAACACACTACAGAAACAAGAACTGAAGTGAGGGAAATTGGATCAAAGGGTTTGACTTCATGGGCACAAATTCCTCATATTAAACATAAATCTGTCTATCAGCTCCTCCTGGCTCTATAACAACTGTGATATACAACATGATACAGTCAATGTGTTAAAAGGAGGAGAGAAACAGCAAGACACTTGTGTTCCAAACGAGCTCTTCAGCATCCCGTTCCTGTAGAAACACCTGTGGATCTTGGAGACAGTCAGCACCTCCCTGGGGAAGGCATTTACCTCTTTAGCATGTCGGAGTCCTCTCTCCCAGGCACTTTCTGTTGGAGGGTCTGGAGGAGGTGGAGGTAAGATTTCATCAACCACTGGCCCTCCCTGTCAGAGGTGAGGAGAGGAAGGAGACAGACACAGGAGGTTAGTGTTAAGTAGCAGATTCATGTCTGTAAAGTTACTTAAGAGTATCTCCAGACACTTCAGAGATGTCTCAGCAGGACATAAGCTGGGAAATACATGGAAAATTATTCCCCTCTACTAACAGCTCCAACATCAACTTTTAAAAAGGTATATTCAATTATGTATTGAAGCACTAGTGCAAAAACAATCTTCACTTCTCCTAGAGCAGAAGAAATCACACAATCATGGAACGGTTTGGGTTAGAAGACCTTCCACCCCCTGCCATGGGCAGGGACACCTTCCACTAGCCCAGGCTGCTCCAAGCCCCATCCAATCTGGCCTGGAACACTTCCAGGGGTGGGAAAGGTGGTGCAGAAGCCATGAATTCCCAGAAAATCTGTCCATACCCAGGGGTTGGCTGGCATCAGCGGGTGAGGGCCGATGGGAGGGGCACCATTGGGGGAGAAGGGCTCAGGCTTGGAGATCAACGAGTAGTTTCCTTTGTCATTCACTCCAGGGTGAATAAAGCGACAGTTCATGCCCCAGGTACAGTGACCTGTGGGAACACAGAGCTGTTAGACCCCCGTACGCCATCAGTAGCTGTTGCTTCAGCCCCACAACCACTTAAAACCCATCAACCATTTAAAACCCATCAAGGAATAACACTGAGGCATAAGACTTCTCTCCTCTCCAACTTTGTTAGGATTTACCTGTTTTCACACACATGGAAAGACACTTGTCACCCCTCACCTGCCAGAGAGGACAAACAGATCCAGTCACAGATGGATGAATATACAAGAACATTATGGTAGGGAGAATGGGGGGATGGATGCACACACTTCATTAATTAAATGCAAGGATAAGCCTGGGAGATCCTTAAGTCTTGTTAATGACAAATACTTCAAGTTTGGAGCTTTACAAAACCTCAGAGCTAGGAAAGCAGCACAGAGCATCCCAAGTAAACAGCTCTGGAGAGACAGGCAGCAGAATCATGGAATAATTTGGTTTGGAAGAATCTTAAACATTGTTTAGTCCCACCCCCTCCCACAGGCAAGGGACACCTTCCACTAGCCCAGGTTGCTCCAAGCCCCATCCAACCTGACCTGAACACTTTCAGGGATGGAGCAGCCGCAGCTTCTCTGGGCAGCCTGTGCCAGAACCTCACTGCACCCTCACAGGGAAGAATTTCTTCCCAATGTTCCATCTAACCTGCACTTTCTCAGTGCTTGAGCACCAAGTGTAGGGGCTTCGCGACATCTCACCCTGACAGGTAAGGGGCTCAGAATGACACAATTTCCTGAGCTGGAAGGACCAACAAGGATCACCACGTGATTGTCTGGCCCTGCACAGACATCCCAACAATCCACCCTGTGCCTGAGAGCATTGGCCAAACACTCCTTGAGCTCTGTCAGGCTTGGGGCTGTGACCACTGCCCTGGGGAGCTGTTCAGTGCCCAAACACCCTCAGGGGGAAGAACCTTGTCCTGATATCCAACCCAAACCTCCCCTGACACAGTTCCAGCCATTCCTTCGTGTCCTGTCTCTGTCATCTGAGCAGAAATCCATGTTGCCCCTCCACTGCCCCTCATGAGGAAGGTACACAGGCTCTGTCACCTATGCCAAGATGGCCAACATCAAGCACCTGCACACCACAGCCAGGAGTGCTCCTGAGGCACAGCAAGAATGAAACTCTGTGTCTTCCTAGTCCCACGTGAGCAGCACCTGATGTAATGCCAAACCAAAGCACAAGCTGAGCAGCAGATCCTGAGCCTGAACTCTGTCCCTGGCACATATTCCAGGCTGCACTGAGGTGTGTGTCACCTCCAAGCCTCAGGAACAAAGAACTCTTCCTCCTGAAGGGCTTCCCTGTTCCAGCAGCAGCAGCAACATATCTGCGTCTGGCACGGGCTCCAGGTTTGACATGGGAAGACATCCAGGAAGCCAAGCCTTGGATATCTGATGGTCACGGCCCCGGAAAGCCCCACAGTGCAGGTGCCACTGACGCAGGGAGCAGAGGCTCCACCCTGTGCTCCACCCTCCTTTCAGCTCAGATTGTCTTGGGGGAGATTGTAAATAACCCAAATACATCAGCAAACATGAGTGAGGTGAAGCTGAAGGAAGTGGAAGAGTTTCAGTAAGTTTAAATAAGAAAAGCTTTATAAAACTTACTCTCCACATTAAAGAAAAGAAAAAGGCAAATAGTCTAACAGCTACCAGGAAGCTGCACAAACATTGGGGAATGTCCTATCAAGAGGAATTAAGAAAAACAGAATCCCAGAATGGTTTGGGTTGGAAGGAGCTTAAAGCTCATCTCATCCCACTCCCTGCCATGGGCAGGGACACCTTCCACTAGCCCAGGTCCAACCTCGCCTGGAACACTTCCAGGGATGGGGAGTTCATCAACTCCCTGGGCAACCTGTGCCAGTGCCTCATCATCCTCACAGGGAAGAATTTCTCCTTAAATACATAAATACAATTGGTCAGATTTCAAAGTTTCAAATCTCAAATCCCATTTGCAGTAAGAAATAAGTTTTATGCTTTCCTACTCCCATTCCTTCCAATCCCAATCCCATTTCAGAGCTGTGGTACTTGACACAGTGTGGAACAACCTTGTGGCTTGAGGAAAAATCTTCTGTTTACATGAAGATCAGTTTTAATTCCCGTTGATCACTTCCTCAGCCCTTAAGAAGCACTGGGCAAGGGCACAAACATCACTGTATCACTGCTTCCTGGGCTGCTTGTGACACCTTCCACTAGCCCAGGTTGCTCCAAGCCCAATCCAACCTGGCCTGGAACATTTCCAGGGATGAGGCAGACACAAAAACACCACCAAGCTTTCCTTTATTTACTTCCTCCAGGCTCACCATGCTTAGACAAAGCCCTTTTTGCACAGTGGTTCCATTTCCATTCAGCACTTGGCCACCATGCGACAGAAAGATGACCCTGAGGGTGCCTGGGGCAGATTTTATCATGTAACAGCAGCTTAAAGGGTAAAACCCAACCAAACAATGTAACTTCCAGCACCTTTGGTGTCCTACCATGACAACATGTTGTTACCTTTCATGAAGAAGCGGCAGGTGGGACGTGGCCTCACTTTCCTGTCATTAGGGTCCTTGACTTCTCCTTCTTCCAAGTCATCATCCTGGAACAGACACAACAAGTTGACATTTCACGTGGTGCATTTTCTGCAGCAACTTGACATTTCACAATATGGTCAAATATCTGTCACTTCAAACACACCCTGGGGCGAAGACACAAATGGAAAACAAGACGAAGTTACAATAAATAGCCCAAAGCATCTTCCCAACATGCTGCTGTGAACAGGGAGGTGCAGCAGGTTTGGTGCCTCAAAGGTGGCTGTGAAATTACAGAATCACAGGATCAGTGGGGCTGGAAAAGCGCTCCAGGATCATTGAGCCCAACCTGTGATCCATCACCACGTTGTCAACTAGACCAGAGCACTCAGTGATTCCTTGGACACCTCCAGGGATGATGACTCCATCACCTCCCTGTTCAGCCCCTTTCAATGTTTAACAACCCTTTACATGAAGAAATTCCTCCTGATGTCCAACTTGAACCTCCCCTGGTACAGCTTGAGGCTGTCTCCTCCTGTCCTGTCTCTTGTTCCCTGGGAGAAAAGACCTTGAGGTGTTTGGATGTCCTGATGCTGCACCAAGATTTCAAGCTGCATCATTTTCCCTCATATATTTAAGGCTCAAAATCACCAGTGGATTAGTATTTCACATGAGCTTGGAGCTGACAGCAAATCCAAGGCAAATAGAGGCAGCTCCATGTTCTTTTAGGTGAAACGGGCTCAACTGTGTTACCTTTCCCTCCCACTACCCTTCAGAGCCTTTAGAGTGTCCCTGCTCAGCATTCCTGTCATCCCTGTTTAGCTCAAGCCAGTTCCTTCTGTTCATTGATTTAAAGTACATAGGAGTATTCCTGCATCAAGGCAATAACTCAGTACAGACATCACACATCCATCTCCACATCAGCCTCTGAAGGATGACTGCTGCCACAATAAATTCATTATCAAATGCTTCCACACAATGCTGGGTGACAATCTGAGAATCCCAGGATGGTTTGGGTTAGGAAGGACCTTACAGCTCATCCAGGGCAAGGGCAGGGACACCTTCCACTAGCACAGGTTGCTCCAAGCCCCATCCAACCTGGCCTGAACACTTCCAGGGATGGAGCAGCCACAGCTTCTCTAGGCAACCTGTGTCAGTATCTCAGCACCCTCACAGGGAAGAATTCCTTCCCAATGTCCAGTCTAAAACTTCCGTCAGCTAAAACCATTCCCCCTTGTTCTAACACTCCATTCCTTTGCCCCAAGTCCCTCTCCAGGGACAATCCCACACAGAAGCTTTTCAGGATCAAAGTCATACATATTTCTTCCAATCCTCTCCAGCAACAGCTTGACACCTTCAATTCTACTCCTCAGCTCCACACAGGAGTTGTGAATCAGCTCAAACAAAACTGTGTCATTCCCAGGCACAGAAGCCCCAGGAAGAAATTTTGGGAGTTGGAAATTACTTCAAGGATTAAGAACCACAGGGGATGAGCATTAAATAAGTCATGAAACACCTCCAGGAGAAAGTTATTGGAACTCCCAAGTATAGCCTTTGTCTTTGTTCTCCAGGGGGAAAAAATCAACCTTCCCCTGGATTTGCTGGGCAGTACCTGGAAAGCCAAAAAGACCTGGTGATGCAGAATACAGAGGTATAAATGAGCAGAGAGTTGTCAGAGGTTATCTGGCAAGGAAATTGGGGTTTTATCCAAAAAGACATCCAGGTCTTCCCCCTCTGCCTCCACTTCTCTGCCACTGAACTTTTCAGCACATGAAACACATCTAGATAAGGAACACCTGGATGGGCCTTCCCTTTCCCTGACAATCACAGCAACCCTGTGGTAATGAGTTGCCTGTGTGGAAAAGATGAGGCAAATCCTCTCCTTTGATCAACTCAGCAGCTGGAAAGGAGGAAAAAACCATCGCTTGACTGTATATAAACAAAGGCTCTACAGAGGGATGGGTAAAAAGCCCCTTCTGCTGCATTCCTGAGGGCCACACAAGGGATTTAAAAGGCTACACTTATATTCCAATTAAAATTTGCATGAATATTCCTCTCCCTCCACGACAGGAGTCTGAGAGCAGAATCAGATGCAGACTGAAGTTCTCCCCAAAGCTGGGGATGGCATTCAGGGATACATGAATGGTATAACCAGCTCCACACTGCTGCTTTCAAAAGAGCTGCGTGAAGTCTGGAACAAAAGGGAGAGTATTTATTTCTGTGAGGTCTCCTTGGAACCAGGCAGCTGGGAATGCTGTTATGAGTTAATGTATGAAAACCAGGGTACAGATTCATCTGGTGCTTTGTGAGGAGAGCACTCCCAAGAATGCCTCAGACTCGAAAGGAAAGCATTCATATTTTAATCAAGGAGCAGGCACGGAGTCAGGGCTTCAGCAATTCTTTTTCACCCCACAACACCCTGGAATTCCTTCTACCTGAAGCAGAAATACACAAAACCTTTGGAAAACATGCGTTCAACAAAACCACCTGCCAGAATGGGCAAGATGAAGGAAAATTCCATAATCTTTAAGCAGCTGAACTTGTCAAAACAACATTAGAGCAAAAATTACACAGAATAGGACCGTTCAATAAACGGGGAGAAGGGTTTCTCCAGTGAGGCTCCATGAGCTTCTCAAGCACATGGACAGGTCAGAAACATAGAAATGAGGACTGGAAGGACACACCATCTCTTCTCCTCAGCTGAGAAGCCCCACCAGGACTCTCATCCACACTCCACTGCTACCTTGCCTGTCACCAAGATATTCCCACAATCTGTTCCAGCTGTGCAGGGGCACTTCTGGCATTGAGAGCCAGGAGCACAGCCAGCCAGGTGCTCTGGATCAGCAGCTTCTCTTTGCAGTGCTTTGCACCTCCCTACTCCAATCCAATTCTAGACCAGAAACTCCTGGGAGGGTTTTTACTCTCCTGCTGCAATCACTTTGTCCTGTTTTCTTCTGCCTGCAAGAGGGAAACTGGTACTAAGCTGCATTAAACAACTGCTGCACTGCAGAGCTTCCCACCTGAAGCCAAACATGGATAAAGATATTTGCCCAATCCCCACAGCAATTAAACCCCATTTTGAGGTTTCTGTGTTTGTTCTGAGCTGTGAAACAGCAGCTACAGCACTGCACATCCCTGAGCATATCCCCAAATCATGTGTGAGGGATTTTCCACAAAGCCCAGCACCTTCCATCCCTCTTCCACACATCCAGATGCTGCTAGAGCCCAACAAACACCTCAGGATCATGTGTGTACTGCACAGAGCTGATGCCTCAGCACCAGAACCACTCTACAGCACCAGCCTCTCCATCTAAACTGATGGACATGAACACCTCATCCATGGCTCAGGAATTTGCTGTCAGGATCACTCAAGTCCTCTGAGAGCTGAGGCAGGACAGTTTCTTACAGCACTGGAGTCCTTTCACTGGGAACAAAGCTCATTTGTGATGGCTCTGACAATATCTGGCACAAAGCTTTGGGGGAGCACACGGCACAGAGATCAGAACTTGGGACATGGGTGGTCTTACCTCCAGGGAAAAGGGTGTCACCTGCAGTGTGAGGACATGGGGACACAGATATTCATCCCACAGGAGGAGGAAGGAATGGCAATCTGAGAGCCAAACAGCTCTGAGCCATAAGGACAGGTCTGTCCCTGCAGCACTCTGCCCAACTCCTACTTACATCAATTTCTCCATCATCAATTTCTCCATCATCTTCTTCCTTCTTCTTCTCCTTGAGGGGGTCCTGACCATCCTTCTCATCATCACTCTTGCTGCTGGATTTTTTCTCATCTTCATGGGCATCATCTCCTTTCTCCTCCTCCTCATCATCCTCTCCAGCAGCTTTCTCACCATCCTCCTCTGCAGCAGCAGCACTTGGTTCCTCAGGAACTTCCTCATCATAGTCCAACTCGTGCTCATCCAGCTCCCGGGTTACAGAGGAGGCTTCATCACCAAGGTCATTTGTCCTGTCTTCCTCCTCCCCCTTGTGAGGTCGAGGGCTCTTCCCCTCCCCACCCTGCTCGTTGTTGTCAGACTCCTGAGACTTGGCTTCACTCAGTCGATCCTCTTCATCCGAGTGGTTCTCCTCTTCCCCATGGCTCAGGCCCCTGCCTGCATCCTCTTCATCTTTCCCACCCTCTCCATCAAGTTCCCTGTCTGAGCAGCTCTCCTTCAGGACTTCTTCATCAGAAAGCTGCTGGTCCTCTTCCTCAGGAGAGCAGGGGTTGCGCTCAGGGCTGTCGGAAACGTCCATCAGTGCCCAAGAGGCTGCAGGGGGAGAGAACAGTACTGGTTATGGGAGAAAACTGGGTAAGCAACAAAGGGCACCATGAAGAACTTGTACTCCTGCAGTTTACTTTCTAAGGGGAAGGATGTTTGAATTCCTAGATGGGGATTGGAGCAACCTGCCCATGGCAGGGGGTGGAATGGGATGAGCTTTAACGTCTTTCCAACCCAAACCATTCCATGACTCCATGAATTCATGAACATGGTTTCTCATAGTAACTTCAAGAAGGAAATACAGAGTTTAAACTGCACAAAAAACTGATTCAAATGTTGTCCTAGACTAGAGTGTGTTACCCTTCACAGCCACCAGTGGAAATTGAGGTTGGAATTTCATACAATCATGGAATGGTTTGGGTTGGAAGAGATTGTAAAAGTCATCTCATCCCACCCCCTGCCATGGGCCGAGACACCTTCCACTAGCCCAGTTGATCCAAGCCCCATCCAGCCTGGCCTGGAACACTTCCAGGGATGGAGCAGCCACAGCTGCTCTGGGCAACCTGTGCCAGTGCCTCAGCACCCTCACAGGGAAGAATTCCTTCCCAATATCCCACCTATCCCTGCCCTCTGGCAGTGAGAAGCTATTCCTCCTTGGCCTGACACTCCAGGCCCTTGTCCAGAGTCTCTCTCCATCTCTCCTGCAGACAGGAAGGCAGCACAGCTGTTTCCTGTGCTACTGTCTCACTGACCTGCCAGGCCCAGACCTGCTGTGTCTGACCTGTCCCCGGCCAGATGTGCTGTCAGCATTGACATCACATCTGCCTTTATCCTACTGAAGACATTAGCAGCAAACTCTCAAGATGAAAGTCACACTCCAGAAATTGCTGTTCCTCACACTAGGGAGGTCTGCAGGGGAACTAAAAACATAAATTAAACCAGTGCCAGAAGCACTACAAGTCTGTATTTTAGTGCCTAACAACTGTGCCCTACCCACACCCTCACAGCCCTGCACAGATATCAGTCAGCTCATGGATAAACACCAGGATGAGCTCAACACCAACAGAGCCCTGAGCAGCAGAAAAGTCCTACCAGCTCCTCTCATTTCTCTGCACATCTGAAGTTGCTTCTTGTTCACACATTTGGCTTTTCCTGCCAAGACCAAACTGAGTTAAAGGCAGCAGCTGCCTCCTGGTGACTCAGGGAAGTTCAACAGGTGTAGCTGAAGTAAATTATGCTTTTATTGAGCACGTAAGTTCATAAATACTTGTACAAATTGTTATTGGCTTGAAGAGCAAGTTATAGCACAGATATTAATTGCCCAGGTACCTGAGAAGAGACTTTGTGTGAACACAGAACAAGAGCTGAGAGGTCAGTCCGGAGCAGCCATGAGAAATATCAAAGCTGTCAGGGGCAGAAAGACTCAGGAAATTTGTTTTCTGACTTCTTGCAAATAAGCAGCACCAGAAAAAAAAGTATTTAAGTGAAGCAAATGCCTTTTTGTCTTTGACACTTAGACCTTTAGAGGGAAATAAACACGAACAGACTCTCAGCACCAGCTCAGGTGATGAGTATAACACATTCACCACCACAGCAGCTATAAAACCCAGAGCAATCACTAGTTTTAATAATTTCCTATTAATTTCCATCAGCAGAAATGATAAGAAACACAATAAATAATAGCCCAAGTGAAAGCAGTTCACAAAATCCAGGCAGTGTGGCTTTTTGGGGTGTATTTCCTTGGCTTCAGGAAACAGCAAGTGTCCCTTTGACCACGGGGTTTACATCCTCCCTGGTGCCTCTCTCTGCACTTAGAGTTCCTCCATCACCTCTTATTCCAAATAACTTTGGGGACAGCCACAGCTCAGACACTCTCCAGGGGCTGCTGCTCCAAGAGAAGATTTCCCAAAACCAATGAACCTGATTTAGGCTTCAAATTTACCTGTAACTGCACGGGAAAGGCCCCAAAGCAAAGCCAAGATGGTCAGAGGGAAAATCAGCAGCAAGAATAAAATTGTAAGGTGGAAATGAAAAGCAAAACTGTCTAAGGATGGGACAGGAACTGAGATGACTTCTGATGTGTGAGGCAAGATACCACCCAAAAGTTAGGCTAGAGGTTAACTCACTGCCACAGCAACTCCTCCTCCTGCCAGGGGGAGAGAAGGACCAAAAATGTCACTTGTCTGTAGGAAAAAAGAATGAATTAAACATTATGAAAGGCAAAATAATCATAGTCAAGTGACTATATGGTATGAAGTGCTGTGGCCACTGCAGCTTCCTGCAGGCTCCAGGGGGTTTGGTCTTTGCAGGGCAGCAAGTACAACTCCAGGGGAAAGTGCATGTGCCAAGGGCTGTCTCAGCACAGTTTATCCCAAGTCTCTGGGAACTGAAAGGGGTTTCTGAGGTGGCTTTGTCAATTTTTGAGATGGCCTTTTAATTTTTGAGGCATTTTCTTTCATCTCAAATTTCTGAAATCCTGAAAGGCTTTTTTTTCTGAGGTGATTTTTTAAAAAATGTCAAATCATAATTTATCCCAAAATCTCTGAAATCCTGAAAGGCAGTTTTGGTTTTAAGGGTTTTTTTGGAGGGGTTGTTTGGGCTTTTGGCTTATTTGGGTTTCTTTTAATTGTTCTCTGCTCTCCTTGAGTTACACATAAAGACAAATACCAGAAAAAAAATAATAAAAAATTACTAAATCCAAATATTTCAAATCAAGCAACACTGGCACAAGTGGCAGAGCAGAAACCACAAGGTTTCATCCCTCACCATAAATCTGGATTTTTTTCCTGCCTTAAACCCAATCCAATTTCTTCAAAACCAGTTATAAAGGCAAAAAATTAACTTCTAACCCACAGATAAGATTGTTTGACTTGCAGCTTAGGCAAGAACCAGGGATATAATAACATATACCTCAGAAAAAATCCTTTCAGCATTTCAGAGATTTGAGGTAACTTATGATTTGCAGATTACAAAAACACCTCAAAAAATCCTTTCAGGATTTCAGAGATTTAGGATAAATTGTGATCTGCAGATTAAAAAAAACACCTCAGAAAAAAACAACCCACCAACTTTCAGGATTTTTGAGATCTGAGATTAAAAACCACCTCATAGTTTAAAAAAACCACCTCAAAACCCCCTTGCAGGTTCCATAGATCTGAGATAAACTGTGATTTGCAGACTAAAAAAAACACCTAAAAAAAAACCTTTCAGGATTTCAGAGATTTGAGATTCAAAAACACTTCAAAAATTAAAAAGCACCTCAAAAATTAACAAAACCACCTCAAAACCCCTTGCAGACCCCAGAGATTTGGGATGAATTGTGCTGTGCAGACTATTCCAAGACAGTCCTTGGCACATGCACTTTCAACTGGAGTTGCACTTGCTGCCATGGAAGGCCTAAATCCCTTGGAGCCTGCAGGAAGCTGCAGTGGCCACAGCACTTCATAAAATCAGCCCAAAATCTGCCAAATATTCCTTTCCTGCCTGCCTAAGGCAGCTTGGATCAGCACAGGGCCCTGAGTAGATTCCCCCAGGCTACCAACCTCTCGCCCTGCCAGGCTAAATGGGCTGGTACAGCCTCTCAAGGGGGAGGTTCAGGAGTAAATGAGATAATAAAGTACATTTTCAGCCCCAAAAGTCTTTTCCTGCTTGTGGGATCACTTAAAGCCCCTTCAAAGCAGATCTCATGTGCTCAGGGAAGAGACTGAGGCTTTGGTAGCTGAACTTCCCAGCTTTCCCCCCTGGGGTGAGCCAAGAGGCACCTGCTGTCCACACAGGGAGAGCAAGACTCTTCCTCCAGTTGTTCCTTCTGGATTCTCATGCCCTCAGCCAGAGCCTGTGTCCCTGCCAGGAAGTGTTGGATCCAGCAGGATGAGAGACATCCTGCCAAAAATACAAAGGGAAGAAATCCCCTCAAGAAGAGACCTGAGGCTTCAGCAGGTTTTAAGTTAGAAAAGAGAAGCTGTGAGTTACGCAAGTGACAGGAGGCAGAGGTGAAACCTCACAGCCTGAACTCTGGAATGCTTCAAACTAGGGAATGAAGCATTAATTACTCCTTAATTTATCAGTGTTTTGTGGTTTGCAGACGGTGGAAGAGATGCTCCTCCCCACCTGGGTGCACCACTGAAGTGACACATCTTCTTCCCACTAGTCTCACAGCCTTACTGGAAACATTTAAAATGACAAATTCCCCCCTAAAAAGGGAGGAAAAAACTCAGGAGATGCCATAGAAGTTTCAATTCAACTCCTTTAGCTCCTTTATAAGTTATGCTCCCAAAGCTTAATGACCCAAGAGGGAAAGACATCCCTGATTCAAGGCTTTTTAACTTAAATCACTAAAGGCAGTGAGGGAAAAGCCCTTTGCTGCTTCAGTTGCAGAGGTGAAGTTCCATAGAGCTCTGGAATATTTCAAATTAGGGAATGAAGCGTTAATTACTCCCTAATTTATCAGGGTTTTGTGGTTTGCAGATGCTGGGAGAGATGCTCCTTCTCACCTGGGTGTTCACCTGCCTACCCTGGGTACACCACTGAAGAGACATCTTCTTCCCACTAGTCTCACAGCCTTACCAGAAACATTTAAAATGACAAACTTCCCCCTAAAAAGGGGGGGAGAAAAATTCATCATCTTCAGTTCCTTTATAACATATTTTCCCTAAGGTCAATGATCCAAAAGTAAAAGAAACACCCCAGATCCAAGGCTCTTTAACTTCAATCACCAAAAGCAGGGAGGGAAAAGCCCTTTGCTCCTTCAGTTGCTCTTTCAAACCCAACTTCAATCAGCTAAATCCCAGGATACATTTTATATACAATTTTTAACCCAACACTTCTGCTAGTTGCTTTGCCCAAGGCCAGAGGCAGCTGAGTCAGAGCTGGAACTCTTAGCAGCTCTTTTGGCAAGATCAAGCTCAACTTCTCCTTTTTGCTAATTAAACAACATCAAAAGGTGCAAAACGAGAAGGAAGAAATGCCAAGAAGGTTTTGGATCTGTATCTTGGACACTAAGGAGTGCAGTGTTAGAATTGATGATCCTGGAGG